ATTCATTATCTGTCAGGGCAAGTCAGTGAAGTAAATACTGTGTTCTGACCTCTGGCACTCTTTCTCATGTTGTTTAAATATTTAATATTGTCCAAGGCAATTCAAGTATTTTCTTAAATAAAAAATATGAAAACTCTCATTCTTTTCCATTTCTTTATTCTCTATGACAAATGCAAAGAAGTTGAAGAATCAAAATCCTTTCCATAATAAATTGCTCTTTAAAAACTCACATATCTAAGAAGGCTTTTGACTACCTCATCTTCTAAATGTTTTACTAAGGTAGATAGTAAGCGGCAAAATGAACTTACTTGGTGCAGTCCCACCCTTACATGTACCACTTCAATACTTCACGTAGTTTCTGCCTTCAGGGTTATCAATAACTTTTTCCTGCCTTAAGTGCTATTGTGGAGAAAGAAATTATGACCCTGAACCAGGACACAGATTTTCTTTTTACAATAACATATATCTGTAGATTTTTTTTGAAAAACACAAAAATAATGTAGGAAACAAAAAGTTCCCTCCTCCACAATCCACCTTCCAGAGATAACCATTGTTAACAGTTTATCGGGTGTTTTAACATTTTAACATTTTACTGATCAGATTAACAAAAGCAAGATATTATCTATACCTGCCGCTGCTTTTTTTGTTTTTTGTTTGTTTGTTTGTTTTGTTTTGAGACAGGGTCTTGCCCTGTCACCCAGACTAGAGAAAGTACAATGGCACAATCCTAGCTCACTGCAGCCTCAAACTCCTGGGCTCAAGCAATTCACCCACCTCAGCCTCCCAAGTAGCTGGGACTACAGGTGCATGCTGCCACGGCCTGCTAATTTTAAAAAAAAAGAATTTTTTTGTAGAGATGGGGATCTCAGTATGTTGACCAGGCTCATCTCCCAGTCTCCTCCTGCCTTGGCCTCCCAAAGTGCTGGGAGCCATCATGCCCAGTGGCTTTCTTTTTTGACTTAATTTGTGATGTAGATTTTTCTATGTCAGTAAATATAGAGCTTCCTCATTTTAAATGCATAGTATTCCACTTGATACATATCAAATATGTGTCTTCCCATTTTGATGTACATGAGGTTGCTTCCCGTTTTTTGTTATTGCAGATAATGCTGCTGTGAACTTAGGCCTTGGGTAACAAAACCTTCTCAAATGTCATAATAACCTGACATTCCAACTGAAGCATATCAACTATTAAAGGAATTCCTATTTTCAAAAGCACTGTGGTTAAACAATAGTGGCATTCTCTACGTTTAGAGAAAGAAACTAACAGTAAATTCATGTGTTATGTGCTTTCCCATATGTCATCTTAATCCTCTACCTGTGAAGTACAGAGTGGTGTTTTATAGACTACAAAACCAAGGATTAAAAGGCTGAATACCTTACTCCAGGTTCTGTAACTAGCAGCTGGTGAATATGGGTTTCACAGCCAGGCTCCCTGACTTCAGATCTAGGACTCCTGCTGTCCTGCATCGCCAGTGTGGCTGGTCTAAAGGGAATAAAAATAACTTGTCCTGCTTGCATGATTCCTTGGCTCAAACATGAGCAGCTAAATCTATGGTTTGCTTCTTCTGGATGTGGAATGCAAACAACCATAAAAGGTGGTCCCTATTTAGAAACACTTTCCACTTTGTTGAAAGGAAAAAAAAAAAAATGTAAGAAAAACCTCCCACTTATTAAGTTGTTTGTGTCTAATCTTCCATCATGCCCCTCATTGTTGAGCTTTCTCTTTGTATTCATTGTTCACTGGTTTTTTGGTTTTGGTTTGGTTTTTGGCTGCTCACTGCAGTCTCGACCTCCTGGGCCACCATCCTCCCACCTCAGCCTCCCAAGTAGCTGGGACCACAGGTACACACCACCATTTGTGGCTAATTTTAAAATATTTTGTAGAGACGGGGTCTCACTTTGTTGCCCAGACTGGTCCTGAACTGGCCTCAAGCAGTCCTCCCGCCTCGACCTCCAAAGGTGCTGGGATTACAGGCATGAGCCACCATGCCCCAGCCCATTGGTATTTTATAGTGCCAACTTCCTTGATGGATGAAGCTAGATGAGGGCATTGATTTTATTGGGGCCCTTTCAGGATTCCAGCACCCAGGGAAATTTTCCCACACCAGCTGCTCCTCACCCCTACTCCCAAAGCACTTAAAACTCAACTGGATCCCTTCTACTGGACTGGTAGGAATTAATTGGTTATTGGAGTACTCTTAAGTTGTACAGAAGGCCGGGCGCGGTGGCTCAAGCCTGTAATCCCAGTACTTTGGGAGGCCGAGACGGGCGGATCACAAGGTCAGGAGATCGGACCATCCTGGCTAACCCGGTGAAACCCCGTCTCTACTAAAAAATACAAAAAACTAGCCGGGCGAGGTGGCGGGCGCCTGTAGTCCCATGGCGTGAACCCGGGAGGCGGAGCTTGCAGTGAGCTGAGATCCGGCCACTGCACTCCAGCCTGGGCGACAAAGCGAGACTCCGTCTCAAAAAAAAAAAAAAAAAAAAAGTTGTACAGTTCATGGTTCGAACATTTGGAAGCTCCACCCCACCCCCGCTGCCACCCACTAGTTGATCATCTGTCTACATGTTACTGCTGAGACATCAATTGTCACAGGCTAAATGAGGCAGTAGTTTTACTGTGTTTGTCTCACATTTGGGGAATGATAAACTTTGGTGAACTGGGAACTCCTGTGTCTGTGGACTCTTCCCAGAATGCACCAAGGACCCACTTTCTCTTAGAGATTGCCATCTTACCAAAGTATTGCCACCAAACATGGAACAAGTCTCTACTCCCTCTGATTTTTAGATCTGTGATTTTTTTTTTTTTTTTAATCTGTCTGGGAGAATTTTGGCTTTCCTGAGAGGCGTGTTTGCCTAGCACCATGGTCCCTTTGGTTTAAAAAAAAAAAAAAAAAAGGCTCTTTCTTTTTGGAAAAATTGTTCTTTTCCTACCTCAGGTCATGTGGTTTCATGGAGCCGATTTCACCTTCTTGGCTTCAGAGCTCGACACAGAAGCCAGGCTTGGCCGGAGTCATCGTGACAGATTCAGAAATTAGCATGGCATGTGACCAGCCTGGGACTTTGCTGGAACTCCTGGACAGAGGTGTTCTTCTCTTAGAGTTGCTCAGTTGTAGGGGAAAAGTTTGGCACTGCTGGCAGCCACACCTGAAGAGCCTCCTGATCAAGCCATCCTAGAAGAAAGGAAGCTGAGAAAGGAAGACAGTTCTGTTAACATCACTTTAGCTTTTGGATCAAGTCATCCCTGAAGCCAGAACTATCCCTGGATTCTTGTGTTATTTAAGAAAATAAATTCCTTTTTTTCCTTAAACCAGTTTGAGTTGGGTTTCTGTCTCTTTTAACTGAAATAATCTTTACACTCCCACTTTCCTCATGACATTAAACACATTCCTCACCTCCCCTGCTTTGGCATGTCACTTTAATCTTTTCGTTAGCTTAGGCTTTTACAAAAGACAGAAAAAGTTACTTCAGGCTACTGCTTCTCAACCCAACCCAAAGCACCTGCTCCTGGTTTGAAATGGAGGAAAGAAAGAAGGCAAAACAAATTAATATCTGAAAGATATATCCCACCATACTCCTGGGCAATGGGACCACGCTAGAGCTCCTAAATAAAAGACCAGAGATGAGCTGACCCTGATCCATTTCCAAGAGCCTACGGTAGGAGAAATGTCTGTTGTGCTCTGATGCTTTCCATGGGTGTCGTCATGATCTGCATCCTGAAGGGAGCCAAGAAAGATGGTACCCACACAGCTTTCCTCTTGATGGGTCTTACAGCCTGAAAGGCTTACTCTGCTTTATCCCCCTGGCAGAGATCTATTCAGAATGTGTGTTGTGTAGGCTCAAGTAGAAGAAAGCAGAAACAAAGAGTTTCCAGTGTTGGACTTTACTTCTATGCACAGTGTTGAAAACCCATATATCCAGGAAGCAAAGAAAGGTGTGAGGGTGGTAGATGACCTGCTTGGGGTTCCCATGCCTAAAAGAAAAAAAGATGTCAAAATTAGCCAGCCCCTTCCACCCAAAATTTCCATCAAGATGGGCACAAGGACCCTCATCTCTTGTTCACAGAGTAGCCATTGGTTGCTCACAGCCCCTTGGGACCTCCTTACCTCTTTCTGATCTTCCTCATTTTCTGCCTTATTGGTGCTGGCCACATAACAAATGCCATGGACTTATACATGGTGTTCTCAACCCTGGTGACCAGTGGTTAATAAGCAGTTTCTATTTTGAGCATGTTGGTTGTTTCTGACCTGGCCTATAGGCATGGCTGCTGCGGTCAACATCTGAAGGGTGTTCCCTACCATATGATGACTACCACAGGTGGCATATGTTCTTTATTTTTGAGACAGGGTCTTGCTCTGTAGCCCAGGCTGGAGTGCAGTGGTATGATCATAGCTCACTGTAACCTTGAACTCTTGGGCTCAAGCAATCCTCCCACCTCAGCCTTCCAAGTAGCTGGGACTACAGCCACACACCACCATGCCCTGCTAATTATTTTATTTTTGTAGAGACGGAGTCTCACTGTGTTGCCCAAGCTGATCTCAAATTCCTGGCGTCAAGCAATCCTCCCGCCTCAACCTCCTAAAGTGCTGGGATTACAGACATAAGCCACCACCCAACCTTCTGTTCTAACTGATAAAAGTTTATAAAACTTATAAAACTCTCAGAAAGTGAAAACTGATTTGAGAAATGTCCTGGATTCGAAAAACTAACTACAGATCCTTTAGCAGCTTGCAAGTTGGTTGACTTCGGAGACATTAATTACTTTGTCTCTCTTGACAAAGTAATAAAGCTATAAAAGAAGGGTTTAGAGAGGTTCCCAGCTATGGGCCAAGAACTAGTTACATCATAATCACCTGGGGCCATTGTTAAACATGCACATTCCCACACCTTTTCACAGTTCTGAATCAATCTCCTGAATGGGAATGTTTTCTTAGCAAACAATCCAGGTGATTCTCATGGGTACCCGGGCTTAGGAACCACTGTGGCAGATGATCTCTTCTGATGCAAAGAGGTCATTGAGCTTGGCTGTATTAGCCAGGTTTAGGTGGGGCTGGACCAGGTAGGGATAGGGGACTGTCTGACCTCTCCCAGGGATTGTGTTCAGGGAACCCAAGAGAATCTGAGGAGGAAGAGAAAGTTACCACCTTTGCCACACGTGGCAGAGTTCTCTGGAAACTTTCCTCCGTTCCTACCACAGGAAGGCCACAGGCACCTGGGCTTTACTGGCCTACACCATAGTTCTGTGCTGACTGAGAGGTTCTGAAATTTGAAAAAAGGTCTAAATCCGGCTTCCAGGTTTTCGTGAAGGTGGAGAAAAGCAGAGTGACCTGGGAGAAGTGGTTATCAACAACACAGCGGTGACTTCTTCCCCGGAGTGAGGAAAGTTTTCCCTTTCCCTGCCCCGAGCTGCAGTGGTGCAGTCTGTTACCTTGGAGACCAGCTAACACATTCCCACAGGGCAAGCTTCACTGCTGAGTTGCTTGGAGGAGCTTGGAGAAACCAGAAGTGAGATCTAGGAGAAGCAAGGCCCTGGAGTGCCAGGAACCCTTCTCCTAAAGATGGAGAAGTAAATGAAGAAATACAGGTGAGGGTGAGCGTCATCAGGGTTGACAGGGGTGGTGACAGAGGGGGTGGGGGAGGCCAGATGCTAAGCTCTGGACTGAGTGACAAGATTGAGGTAGCCTGGGGTGTGAAGCGTCCACTCCCTACATGCTGAGCATTGGGCTAAATGCTGGGGGTGCCAGTAGACAAGGAAGTCATGGAGCCAGTCTGGGAGACAGGCCATGACAACTCCATATGACAAAGTGAAGGGACAGCAACAGGAGGACTTCCACAGGAGGAGTGGTTTCCTCCCTGGGGGATTGGGGACAGTGAATGGGGTTCAGGAAAGACTCCTATTATTATTATTATTATTATTTTCACCCAATAATCAAGGTTCCCTCTCTCCCTTGGACCAAAATGCCATCTGCCATGGACTGGTTTGTTCTTTTCCTCTCCTGCAATCACCCCCCAGTGTAATTCAGCTCACCTTTGCCTAAACTCTGGACCTGCTCTGAATGCATTTATTCAACAAATGTTTTTTGAGCAGCTACTATGTTCTAAACTCTATTTTATGCAAAAATATCCTAGCAGTGAACATTACTGTCCTGGCCCAAATGGATCTACTTCTAGTATGTTTATGTGGGAGGGGTGCGCAGAGGTTCAAACAGTAAGTAACTAAATATAGAGAAATTATAAAACAAGTAAATAAGTAAATATATAGAACGTATTTACTTATAAGTAAATAAGTGAATATATAGAACGTATTTACTTATAAGTAAATAAGTGAATATATATAGTGAAACATGCTGTGGGGAAAGATAAAGGCAGGTGGAGGAGATGCCGTTTGAGTTAAAGTACTCACAGAAGACCTCTCTAATAAGATTTCATTTGAGCAAAGGCCTAAGGGAAAGAGCTGCGTCCTGTTCATGTCTATCTCCCCAACACCTGTTCTCTCTGGCACGCAGTGAGCGCTCTATAAATGTTCATGAAACACATGATTGTTTTCATGTCATATGCTGAAGTGCTTGAAGATGCAGCCCACATTTTATGGTATTCTACTTTTTTTTTTTTTTTTTTGAGACAGAATCTTGCTCTGTCACCCAGGCTGGAGTGCAGTAGCGCAATCTCAGCTCACTGCAAGCTCCACCTCCCGGGTTCACACCATTCTCCTGCCTCAGCCTCCCAAGTAGCTGGGACTACAGGCGCCTG